GCACACACACACACACACACACACAGAGAGAGAGAGAGAGAGAGAGAGAGAGAGAGAGAGAGAGAGAGAGAGAGGCAGTTTGAAATATAACAAATCTTCAGAGATCTGGGGATAGTACAAAAAGAACTGAGATGGAAATCTCCTTCAGGAAAAATAGCTATCTCTGAAAGAATAAGTTAAAACTGTAAAACTCTACGAAGCCCAGAATTACTGGGTTAAAATCGGCAGCCATGGAAATGAAATACATGAATTTAGCTATGAATATTGCATACAATATTATGGGTCTCTGTATAAAGTCTAATATAGTCTCTGTAATTATTGTCTCCATGAAAGCTCAGTTCTGGGATGCTTCATGCAAATTGGCATATCTGTAAGTCAGGTATTAGCAGCAGAAATGCCATCTAATTTAACCAAGATGATTAGGGGACTGGAGACTAAAACATACAATGAATGGTTGTAATTACACGGCATGGCTAGTCTAGTGAAGAGAAGGACCAGGGGAGACATGATAGCAGTGTTCCAATATTTGAGGGGCTGCCACAGAGAGGAAAGCTTCAAGTTACTTTTCAAAGCACCTGAAGGCCAGAGAAGGAATAATGGATGGAAACTGATCAAGGAGAGATTCAATCTGGAAATAAGGAGAAATCTTCTGACAATGAGAGAAATCAACCAATGGAACAGCTTGCCTTCAGAAGCTGTGGGACATTCATTGCTGGAAGCTTTCAAGAAGAGACTGGACTGCCATCTATCAGAAATGGTTCAGGGTCTCCTTAGGAAGGAGGATTGGACTAGAAAACCTACAAGGTCTCTTTCAACTCTGTTAATCCGTTAGATTTTTTTCCGTTAGATTTTTTTTTAGATTTTAAATAGTTGTGTATGTCTTTTATAGGCAATTACTTAAAGCTAAAATGATTTTTTAAAACATTCTTTCTTTTACTATATGTCAAAATAAAGTTTCTGACTCTATCATTCATACTCCTGCAGGCTTCAAAATACACATTTTAAATGGCTTACAAAGGCTGTGCAGCAGTGATGAAATTAACTTTTTTACTACCGATTCTGTGGGCGTGGTGTGGCTTCGTGGGCGTGGCTTTGTGGCCATGGCAGGGGAACGATACTACAAAATCTCCATTTCCACCCCACTCTGGGGCTAGCCAGAGGTGGCATTTGCCAGTTCTCTGAACTACTCAAAGTTTCCACTATCGGTTCTCCAGAACCTGCTGGATTTTACCCCTGCTGCACAGGCCACATACTTATGGCATAGTCACAGAGAGATACCGTGAGAACTGCAACTGGATCTCTTTTTTAAAAAGTGTAATAAGTATCATAAAGAAGAAACTCAGTAGGTTTATGATAATAAGAGAACTATATTGACTTTTTCTCCACTTAAAAACCATATAGTGGCGATTATTTTTACAAAGATAAAACATACAGGAATAGTTTGTTCTGATCCATAACTCTATTTACAAACACAACCATCAATGAAAATGTTGCATTATAAGTATTTAGAAAGACCATGGGATGCCTTAATTACTAGTGAGGTAAATGCTGAAATGTCCCATCCAGAGAAAAACACCACAATGCCATGATTATGATGACTTGAAAAACAGGGTCATTTAGTTCACTGAGAAGTGATTCTTCACAAGTGTCCTAAAAAAAATAGTTTTAAAATATGAGTGTTAGCCTAACCTGTTTCTACAATTCGTTCTATATTTTATTTAATTGCACAGAGGTTTTTAGGTTTGAATACTAAAAACCTTTAAGAAATGCATACCAACCTGTTTGTGTCAATTGTGAGAAAGCAGGAAATCCAGGCAGGTCAAATAAATATAAAGGTTTATTGCAAGCTTAAACTCTCACCAAGAATCTGAACTACTAACGGTCAAAGAAAATTGGTGGTAGATAAGAGTCAATGGAATTCAAGATGGTCTGGAGTTAGATCTCCTGTAGGCGCAAAGTGACTGAAGACTGATGATACATTTGATTGCTCCTCAGGCTCAGTCTGTCCATCTCCTACAGTTTGATTTTATTTTAGTATGTTGCTCCTAGAATATATGACTAAAATTGACCTAGTTCCGTATGAAAATAAAATTTAAATAGAAGGCTTTATTGAACACTGTACAGCTTTCTTTCTTAGAATTTTTAATTATATAAATTCTATATTAATTATAGAGAATGTATATAATTATACAAAGGAATACTCTTAAATAATATACTGAATTGATAGAGAAATATATGAAAGCACAAATAGTTGGGGGGGGGATTCCATTTCAGGCAGCAAAAGTGTCAATTTACTCTATAATATTAGAAAGAACTCTTCATTTAAAAATAGCAAACATGCAAAACAACAGCAACAGCAGAAACATGAAAATGACATTTCAGAGTTGGTGGAAGAAAAATAAGCCTCTTTAGAATCTGGTGTTTGTTCATGAAACCATGTCAGTCATGACACAGCAGCTATATTTTTTCATCGGTGTGGTCATTAATTTTTTTAAAAGTGAGAGGGCTGGCTTGCTTCAGGGAAGTCTTTGAAATATCTGTGTTCATTGTAGACATGGCTATTGTTTCATAGTCATCGACTCTGGTGTGGAAATCACAGAAACGAAAGAAAATCTGTAGATCCCGTTGAAAGTTCTTGTTGAGGAATCCATAGAAGATGGGATTCACACAGGTTGAGATCATAGCGGTAAGGTGACAGATTAAAAAGAGCAGATTGTGGCTGCAGGCTGCAGGGAGAATTTCATGATTCCAGTCAAAGACCGTATTGAAGATGGTGAGTGGTAGCCAGCACACGGCAAATGCCACCACAATCGAGAGCAGCATAATATTGATCCTTTTTGTTTCGGTAGACCTGTATTTATTATCCCTCATCTTATCCACCATGTTGCTTCTTCTTTTTAAGCGAATATAGATCTGTGGAAAATAAGAATTCAGTAACAACCATGTAAGACATATCCGAGAGGTGCCATTTTGATAAGTATTGTATTGTTTATTTGGTTTATTTGTATGCCGCCCTTCTCCAGGAGGGACTCAGGGTGGCGAACAACTCAGGGGGGAAAGGGAACATAA